TCTCTCTTTTGATTTTGACAAAGACAAACAACTTTCCGTCTCTTCTGAATTTATTGCAAATGTCTTTAGAAAGAACTTCGAATTATTTCGTTCCAAGAATAAGTTATTAATATAGTAACTGGTGTTGTACTTTTATTTTTGCAATTATAAATATTTTACGAACGTCATCTATACATAGTTGTATGACCATTTTCTTACCGCTTAAACCAAAAATCGAACGGTTAAAGGATAAAAAATCAACAATAAATAACTTCTTGATTTAGTTATCGATTCAACATGTTCACAAACCAAAACCAAGTAATACTAAAATCTAATCGAATCGACCTCGTTTGTAGAATGTCAGAAGTATTATATAATTTAAATCTCAAAAAATATAAAATTTATCACATGAATTGTGTAAAACGTATCACGTGAATTGAGACGGAACGAAAGTAAGTGGGACCCACCCCCACCCACCTAAAAGGACATAATGTGGAAGAATCCAAATACATGTGGAAGGAAGTAAAGAGAAAAGAGATTCTTTTTATATATAGTTATAAAAAAATTTCAGAGTTTTCTTTGTAAAACGAACGGTGTTGATAGGGCAAAATCCAAAACTCTGCCTCATCTCAGTCGTCTCCCTTTCTCCCTTCTTCTCCAACGTCCGATCTTCCAGTTCCCTCCATCCCCAGGTTCATTTTTATACCTTTTTTTCAAAAAAAAAAATTGTCACCATTTTCTCTCTCTAACTTCTCTCTCTAACCATTTCAATGGCAGAAATCAGAAATAGGGTTTTTTATATGGTTTATGTCGTTCATCTTACTGTTTTCTAGAAGGTTTTATTTTTTGGTTGAAAAAAGTCACCCCTTTGGCCCTTTACACCCTTTTCTCTGATTAACAATTTCAATGGCAGAAATGGGAATTAGGGTTTTTTTCTCTGGTTCATGTCATTCATCTTACTGTTTTCAACATGGGTTTTTGTTTTTGTTGAAAAAAAATCACTCCTTTACACCCTTTCTCTGTTTAACAATTTCAATGGCGGAAATGGGAATTAGGTTTTTTTTTCTTCCTGTTTTTTGTTATTCATCTAACTGATTTTGATGTGGGTTTTTGTTGTTTTAAGTATGGCGGATGGTCAAGGTTCGTCTAGGTCACCGGCGAGTCCAAACGGAGGTGGTAGTCATGAGAGTGGTGGGGACCAGAGTCCGAGGTCTAATGTACGTGAACAGGACAGGTTTTTACCAATAGCTAATATTAGTAGAATCATGAAGAAGGCACTTCCTGCTAATGGAAAAATTGCGAAGGATGCTAAGGAGACTGTTCAGGAATGTGTTTCTGAGTTCATCAGCTTCATTACTAGCGAGTATGTGTTTAATGTTTAATGATTAATGATTTGATTAGCTCGTACTAGTTTTAGTTTGGTAATGAGTTGTTGCTGGTTAAATTTTGAGCCATAAATGCTGTGAGTTGTGTTTAAAGTGTGATCTTTTGTTGTTGATTGCACGATTGATTGATTTATTATCATGATCCCTTTTTCCTTCGTGACGATTATTGGATTGGATCGATGTTATCGTTAAGAGTGTTACCTTTTTATTGTTAATGAACATGCTCGCTTTGTTGAATTACTCTTTTAGTTTCAATTTGATTGTCTTGTTTTGACTTGCTATGGAGTATAGTAAGAAAATAAAGAAGAGTTTTGAACCGTGTGGTTTTAAATTAAAGACATGTGGAATATATAAAATTTCCTTTAATTTTGAACATGCCATGTGGAAGTTGATATTGAAGAGTTTGCCAAAAAAGAAATAGACATTTTTTTGAACGGAATAATAACGAGGGTAAGAAACACTTTGGAATGAAGGGAGTATTTTGATTAGTATTGTCCCGTTATGCAATGAGTCCATCTTTCTTTAGTAAATGTGTTTATAGGTGTATGGATATGCTATAGGTTGTAGGTAATGTTCACTCTTGTTTCTTTGTTCCTTTTGTGGAGAAATTTTATTTTTTATGTTGTTGATTTCCTTGACAATGTTGCTTGTTTCCTGATGGAATATAGGGCAAGTGACAAGTGCCAGAGAGAGAAAAGGAAGACTATTAATGGTGACGATTTGCTATGGGCAATGGCAACTCTTGGGTTTGAAGATTATATTGAACCACTCAAGGTGTATCTTGCTCGATACAGAGAGGTAATGATCACTATGTTTTTGATTTAGCTTTCCCTTGTCACCCTTTTGCAATGAAGCATAAATTGATGGGTTTTCCTCTCATGTGGTTGGTGGGATACCTGTTGGATGAATGAATTGTTGCAGATGGAGGTAAATGAATGTCTAATATAATGTCTTTATTGTCATTTCTTTTTTCTTCTTTGCCTTTGGGAGCAACTGATTCATTTGGTAGGGTGATACAAAGGGAACGTCAAAGGCTGCTGATGGCTCTACTAAAAGAGATGGGATGCAACCTGGTCCTAATTCACAGGTACGTACTCTTTCGTGTTCTTTGTTTTTTATCTCTTTTTTGTCTTGTTTGACATCTTAGATTGCTTAAGGAAATTTTTTACGTGCAACGTCCATTAATTTGATACTCCATCATATTGTTACAGCTTGCACATCAGGGTTCATACTCACAAGGAATGAATTATGGGAATTCTCAGGTAACTTTTTCTGTGTATCCATGATGTTTAATTGCTGCATGTCATCCTTCATAATGCTTCATTATGCATAGAAGTCTCAATCTCTGCCTGTTATATGTGGAAATGTTTTTCTTGTCTTAACCACAAAAGTGGTGGATTAACCATGATTCAGAATCTCATCGGGTACAAGAAACTCTAGGTATTTCCTTTCATCGGTTTAAGTTTTGTTAGGCAAAGTTAACCAGTATCTGTGCTGGTTGGAGATAAAAGTATCCGGTAGACATGTAAATGTTGAAACTAAGAAGCGTGTCTTAATGATTTTCAATTTATCAAGTTCTTCAATTTGACCCTTTAGTAACTATTGCAGATAAGTATAATCCTATGATGGATAAAATTGTATAATGGATAGTAGGGAAGGTTTGTGTATATATTCATTCAAGTCTTGGGCCTTTATGTGATATCACTACTTCAAAAGATGCCTAGAATTTTGCCGAAATGTTAATGATATTACCATAAATAGAACTTAAAAAAAGGTAAAATGAGGCAAATCCGTAGATGCAGTAAAAGAAGGGTATTATGAATAGCTTTTCGCACTTAGGTATCTGTTTTTTCCTATTAAAACCAGTACAACTAATTTTGGAGCTGAGTCCATTGTTTCTTCCTGCTTTATGGTGATCGTACATATTGCTCAGAGGACTACTTTTTGATGTGATGTCAGACTTTGCTAGACAGTTAGGTATATGAGGGATTGACATGTGTGATGGTCATTCTCCATGTGATGTGAGACTTTCTCAACAATTAGGTATATGAGGGATGGACATGTGTGATTGTCATTAAGTGTCATATTCCTTGTGTAATAAAGTGAGGCAGTACAGGTTTATTGAATAATTCTACCTAAATATATGTCATGAATTGAAGACATTGTGCAAAACATGGGTATCGGTGATTACCAGGTAATTAAGGACTTGAAATCATTGTTCACTGTATGCTTGAGTTTGAAACCAGATTATCGGATATCAACTACATGATGCATACTATAGATAATGATTTTTTGCACTGCGAGTGGAAAGTTGTTTTGTTTTATATGAAGGTGTTTGACTGGGCGCAAAGTTAAAAGAAGAAAAAAACTTCTGGCACGTGTTAAAAGTACCCTCGAGACTTATGGTTGTATACATGTCATGAATAGCTATAAATAAGAGTTCCCAAATATAGAAAGTGGAATTGGCTAATTAACATGCTTCTTGTAGTACGATTGCCTGATAACATTGATAGTTAGATGAATTAGTACGTTCATCTGAAAATGAAGGATAGTCAAGCTTGATGAGTAAACTCTATGTAATTGCTCGTGTCTTCTTAAGGTTTGAGACTTGTAAGACATCTGTCATGTTACGATGAGTATAGAAGCCTGTGTGCACGAGAGAGATCGCTCTTTGTTCTTATAGAATTCAATACAGGTAAACAAGTTGGGGGTATCCATGAATTTTACACCAGCTTATGTTTGACTACTATACGACAGCAATGTTAGTTGGTGGATTGATTGTTCTGATCCCACCCTAAGTCTTTTATGTCACTCTAATATTTACCTTGAAACCGCGTTTTGCAGGGTCAGCATATGATGGTCCCGATGCAAGGAACTGAGTAAAAATCCGATCTTCGTCCTGTTTGAGAAGACGGGTGGAGTTGAAAACATATTATATATATAGATGGTTCTTCTGCTGTAACCTCTGTAACATGGTTTATTAATTCTAGTGCTCTCTAGTGAGTGCCATGTCATATTTAAAGTTTGTAAATTGAGGAGATGTTTTAAGAAATATTATAGACATGATTGTTTGTAGTAATAATGAAAACCATTACCTAGTACTTCTATTGCAGGATGTTGCTTCTCTATGGATGAATGAAGTTAAATACCACCTCTTTTTTTTCCTATTCCTGAAAGGAAAACTAGAGTTTCTTTTTTGGACTCATGGTATTTCCCTAAAATGAGTTTTACGACGAAGTAAGAATTCATATAAACGATCTCAACTTGTTTGGGACAGAGGAATGTAATTCGATTCTTACAGTAAACTGCTGTTTGGTAAATGCTGATGTGACCATGAGTTAGTTTTTGAAATAATCTTTTGTACACATGTATTTGGGATACGCTAACTCTTGATCGATTCTCCAATTTCACTTGTCAATCTTTCAGAATATTTTCAAATTTTGTTAGCCTATCATCAACAACCTAGTGAATGATAATAGTATCTTATAATGCATTTGGACCATTAAACATGAATTTCGCGATATTTTAATTTTTTATGTGTTAATCCATAAATATTCTAAATAACGGCCTAAAATTATATGTGTCCGTCACAACCTAGTGAATGATAATGGTGGCTTATTATGGTGTCCACCTAAATTGAACAGAAAACTGAACTTCATTTCATCTGTTCTGTGGTTTTTCTCCATCTAGTCAGGATAATAACTGTTAATAAATTAACTACACTAGTAATACAAAACTCACCTTTATATAGGTGCAATTTTTTTATTTTTTTTTAAGATATAACATAAAACAACCTAGATGAGTATAGTAAAACTAAAGAACACAAATCCAAGTCAAGAATAGGGCTATAAATTAGTAAACCGACCCGAGGAACCTCTCCTTCTCCGACGACGTTTTTGCATGCGCCAGAACAAGATCAAGAGACCTAACAGTTATAGTGATAAAGTCTGTAAGATAAATGCTAAATTTTCGAATTCATCTAACGGTAACATATACACGAATGTACAACACTCACCTAAGATGGCAACAGTTGCAGGAACTAACCAGTGAGTAGCTACAAGCACAGGCATGTCAATCTGCAATGAAGTAAAATGAGACATTCTTATGTTCTGGTATTTGGACTGTTTAATTGAAGTTTGATAAAGAAGAGTATGAACTGTATGTTCAAACGATTGAAAAGTTATTTTCGTTCGAATATAAGTTATACCACTAATTGCAATTGAAAGATCAGTGAATATAGTCGTAAGATCAGTGAATATAGTCCCAAGAAACCAAGCTAAATGGGTATCCCGATAAGAAGACAAAGTCAAAACGGAAAGCAATTGAAATACTGAAAAAATTGTTATGATTCACTGACGAAATTTCAACTTTTCCCAGTGAACTTCATGTCCAAACTTTCTAAGAATGTGTATGTAGGTAGATATATTCCTTTCTTACAATCCTGCATCAGATACTTGCTTCCCTTTTTGAGCTGAGGGAAACAACCTCTCGACCTCATAAAAGATAGGGGTAAGATCTGCGTACATCCTACCCTTCCCAACCCCACTGTGGTATAACACTGGTTATGTTGTTTGTGTATGTAGTAGATATACTTCAACTACATTTGGACATGATTTGGTTGAAATTTGGAAAAAAAGAACAATATCCTAAATGACATAAATTTCACTAGGAAAAAAGGAAGAAACTTGAAATGGAGAAGTTGGAAGTGTGAAAAAAATTCTTAAAACATGTTTTTTCAGACTTCAATTTCTCTATTTCAAGTTGAAGTTGAAAAATGAATCAAATTTGATAGGCAAACTATTATTTGGAAAAAAATACATGGACAAACGCCAAAGAGTCGAGTTTTAAAAACAAATGAAAAAGTTACTTACATCATCTCTGTAAAAGAAGCCCCAGTAGTTGTTTCCGGAAGAGTCGACAACCTTCTGAGTCGTGTTAGATGTTACTGTAACAGGTGTGTCTACTGTAGAATTTAAACCTCTACCCAAGTCGATGACATGATATCCAGGTAGCTTACGGTTCCTTCCTCTGACTTGTAAATTGTAACCCTTTGTTCCCCATACTTCAAACCTGGAGTCACGGCTGCATGTCAACTCCTTCCCAACAACTCTAGAATAGGTAGAGAAATTCACATCTGTTCTACGCGATGGTATCTGGTTCTTATCAGCATATAATGGTTTCTCCTGTCTAGCTGAATCTGAGAAAAGCATAGGATCTTTCATACTCCTGCTTGTAAAATCCAACATTTTCTTCAAGAGCCCATAACAATTGGTAACCATATGGCTGCTGTCCAAGCAGTTAGAGTCCCCATATACTGCAATTCGACCTCTGCCAACCTCCAAAAAACCAAGAATAGGTGTATCTGTCTGTATTCATTAAAATAAATTGCAAGTCAAATTGGCAGGTCAAACCACCACCTAAAGAACACTGAAGAAGTCAGAATATCATTAGCATAAGGGTTCTAACTGGAGTAAAATGGACTTATTCTCCATTACTACTTTGTGCCACATAAGGAAAGTGATACCAAAAATTTATTCATCAAAGATATTGACAAGTGAAGAACATTCTTACGCCATCCTCGCCTCACATTTCTGGAAACTCCATCTTCATTTTTAAGCAGAGGATTTTTTTAAAAGATAAATATGAAAAAGGAAAAAAGGCAACTTCACGGTGTATCATCTTTTAGTTAAGGATGTTATTATCAAAACAAGTAGTTGAGTAGGAGAACCGCTATATCTCACTATAGAGTATACTCTTCCTCATGTTTCAATAGAGAGACGACAGACTTCAATATATTAGACCACCATATCTCCAATTTCTTTCAACTATTAGAGCCCCGTTGAGATGCTCAGTGTTCTGGAATAAGCAAAAGGAGGTCAACTCTCTACTTTTAGTAAAGATTTTTGTGTTTATGAACTTAAAGAGGATCAGGAGGTGCCAAAATCAAATTATAAACAGCCTTCAACTCACCTTTGTCATGCCAGATAAAAGGATATTCTGAGTGGCCCCGCTCTCTGAGCTATCCATGAAGGGGAAGCTGTGCAAGTATCCACCTCTTGGAAACTTCAGAATATCAGTCCCAGATGCATACCGACTCTGTTCACCATTGAGGACAAAATCGCCATTCAGAATTTTATTCCCAAATGCAATCCCAAAGGAAGCCAAAAGATCATTTAAGGCAGGAACATTGGAACCTCCAGTAACTGGTGTCCACCAGCTACGTGTATTGTCATCAAAAAACCTCATCTTTACCATTGTGTCCACATTGTACCAGTCAGCAAATACAACTACACTTAGACCTGAATTAATGACATCATCTCTCAATTTCTTGATTTCTTCAGGGAAGTACTCATCCTCAAGATCCACCAGAAGGAGTGTACCGTACTGGCGAGCATCAAAGCATGTAAGAGGAGAGCCAAGAGTCTCAATATAGTATCCAGCATCTCGTAGCGTGTCAAACATTATGTGGAAATTCGTATGCAGATGATCCCCATGCCAGTCAAGAATGTCATTCCGAACATCTAAGGAGTCCCTTGGAATATAACCAGGCGGATACTTGATACTGTGAAATTGATCCCACAATATCCGCACAGATCTCGGTGGAGTAGGGACCACTTGCAATTTCAATCGAAGGACACATGTACTACTTCGATGGCCCTTCTCACCTGGAGCTGGTGGGCTGTAGACCTTGACAGTTACATTACCTTCAATTACCCCTGAAAATTGAGCCCCTTCTTCTTTGATTTGCATATGCAGTGCAAGATAGCCAGTCCAGGGCCAAATGACATCTGAATAAGTAAAATGGACGCTGAGAAGGTTGCCATCCTCACCAAAAGGATGCCATGTAGGTGGACTTTCAACATAACCAATTACAGCCATTCCATTTAGAATAGTGGCATTAAATATGACTGGCATGGCACCAGCATAAAGTGGTTGACGGCAAAATGGCCACGAGTAGGGGCAGTCAGTGTAATCAAGAACACCTGGGAAAATGCTTGCTCGAGGCTCATAGCTCATCAAAATTTCAAAGGACTCCAACCTGTCATTCAAGTTAAAGTTAGAAGAACATCAATGTGGATTGATTTGGTATTTCATTCTACAAGCATAATGGAAGAACTCACAAATTAACCCTGCCTGCACCCTGCTCGTATATGTTGGGACCAGGAAGCTTTGCAGCCCCCTCAACCAGTGCTTGTTTGACACTAGCTGGATTCAGAATGTCCTTACGCTTGCTTTCAGGAATTACGCTAACAAGAAGGCATACTATACCAGCAACCACAGGACTCGCCACGCTGGTGCCAGATAAACTTTTACAACCTGTACTAATTTTGGATCCCATTATCTCGCGTCCATATGCAACAATATCAGGCTTTACACGACCATAACTGCCAAGGGAAAAGTCTGTGGTTACACACTATGAATTGGCTGGACAAGCATAAAATATTCCTATAATTAGGGGAAAAACTGTTTGTTTCTTTCATATTTAATATCTGTCTGAAGATGCAAGTATCATACATTATGAGACGGTTGCTAGAGATGGATGACTCAATCATGTCACAGATGAACCGGTTTGTACCGGTTTGTATATTTGAACTCATGAGGAGTGAAAGGGGACGAGGTACACCTTAAATCATATGGAAGGAAGTAATATTGAAAGACCTACAAGCTCTAGAAATCAATGCAGACTTAGCCTAAGAGAGGTCACATGGGAGAAAAAGATTTACTACAAATTAGTTTGAATATATTCTAGTAACGTTAATATGTTATTTTAGGTCCTAAGCATATCTTAACCTTATAAGAGATTCTTACACTAGTAGGAAATATAGAGAACTTGTAATACTTCACATTTTGATTTTTCTGGTCTAATGTTCGCAGACAAATTTAAATGGGGGACATGGTGAGTGAAAATTAATATAGCTGACCCCAACTTGTTTGGGAATGACGCATAGTTGTCATATTTAAATATCATCTTTCTCTTCTCTTTTTCTTTTTCTTTTTCCCCTTGGGAGAGATAAAATTTGCAGAAGCGGCAGTCTGCACTAATTGTCTTTATGTTCACCCTCAAGTCTTTTCCCATTTACCATCAAACAACTTCCCTTTTCTGAATTTGACCCAAAAACATCACAGACATGGATGCAGCGAGCTCATCGATGGCATGTCTGTTTAAGAAAAGATAATCTTCAGGAATAGGTAGTTCTATTATCTCCTTTCCCCATCTTCAGGAATAGGTAGTTCTTTTATCTCCTTTCCCCTTTAATGAGGCTTCCTCATCCATTCACCCCTAAACTCTATACCTGCTCATGTGTAGAATGGTTAAACTAATTCCAAGAGGGGCAGGGGATAATGCTACTCAAGAGCATAATATAGATAAACAAACAAGGGAGAAGTGATACCCATGAGGAAGCTCCCACGTACTCATGCCACGAGAAGAAAAAGAGGCTATATGATCACTGTAATCAATGCCACCAACACCAATAACATCACTTTGATCTGCTGGATTGTTTAGAGTACCATACAGTGGTCCGTCATTCCCAATAGCTGAAACCATGATGATGTTGTTTGCTGTAAGCTCCCAAACCTAAAATAGGTCACATGTCAACAATATAAAACTAAAGTTCCCATCCTTACTGCTTATTCAGAATTCGTGCTGACAATAATGGTAACTTCAACAGTATCAGAGGCTTAACAACTCAGCCTCTCTAGCATGTTGCATGCTAAAGTAAAAATGTTACCCTCGTGCTTGAAACCTTCATGAACATGGTGCAGGTTTCAGCAATTAACAGATATGTGCACAGACCAGCTCAGGAAAAGTTCTACTCTGACTAGTGAAAGGGCCGAGCAGGGGAAGACAAAACAGTATTCACATATGCAATTTGTGGTTACATCAAAATTAATGGAAGCTAACTAAATACGAAGAGAAACTACAAATTCTTTTTTGATCTTTGTACTCCATACTTGAACTGTATGTCAACCAGCAGCGGAGACGCATCATCCACATGCTGACAGTTGGAACCAAATTACTAATAATCCTGAGACTACGAATGGTACAAGATCTTAAAGCAGGCAATCGTATTATTTATAACAATTCGTGCAACAACAGAAAAATGCATTTGTTGCCGGAGATGATACACGCCCCAAGCATCATACTGTTTTACAGGGCAGATTAAATTGGTAGTAGAAGAAATATTATAGTTGTTCAAAAGCCATAGGATATTGAAAAATATTGCAGCAAATTAAAATTTGAATTGTACAACGATTTTGAAACTATGTTCAGTTACTGATTTAAAGTCTTGATCGATGTGAGTGTGTATAAATTACTATAGAAGTGTGTCAAACATTTTCAGATGCCCCGAAATTATGAGTGCAGTATGTATTATGAAAAAGAGGGTAAAAAAAAAACTAAAAGCTCAATGACCTCACCTTTTCAACAAAAGGGAGATCTAAATAGTCAGGCCCACCAATACTCAAATTCAACACATCCATATTTGTTGCAATTGCATAATTGAATGCATCAAGAAACCATGATGTGTAAGAGACCTGCAATGAGCTGAACACACAATTATCATAACCTTGACAGGAATTTTCAAATTAATACAAGATGATCTATCTTTTTTCTTTTCAGGTGAATAATACAACAAGATCCATCTATTTTACCACTTTCAGAAGTATCTAGGACAAGCAAGTGAAAATAAAGTCATTATCATCTTGTATATGTGAGGAAAAGGAGTAAAGACTAAAGGTCTATCCTCAGCATTTCTTTATACAGAAACTCGATTTCAAAACACCTTATGGCAATATTAAACAAAGCCCAATAGAGTTGACCCTGAATTAAAACTATTACTCGGTCCAGGTCTGGCTGAACCAACTTCTTTCACTCCGGTAACAGATCCAGAGGAAGGACCCCAACATTTTGGAAGATATCTTGAGAAAAGAGGTTCTAGCACTGGTGTATCTTATATGTATCCAAGTAAGTTTATTTGAAGTACCCCAATGGTCTGACACCGTCTGACTTCCTGGGTTCCTTCACCAAAGTAGGTGAGATGTTTTATAGGGACTCCCTGTAGCGCTTGATTTTAAAATAACTCATGGTTCAGTGAGCATAGAGATCCATCCTTTTCTTTCCTTTTAGGTCTTTATTTTGTGTTCTATCCTTCCTAGCAGCGGTTCCGTCGATAGAAAAACTTCACCCATAGCTAACCTACAGAGCTTTACTTCAAGATAGCTCGGACAGACATACTTCTTCAAAAGAGTTGCTTGCCTTACACATCATCCACCAGCTCATCCACACCTAGGAGCATTTTCTAAAATTCTTTTATATTACTTATGGCAACAGATCGCAGAAAAAATACAAATCGATAATGAAAAAAAATGTTTTTCCATCATTAGAAAGCTGCTTAATACAAAGTTCATCTAGGAACTTGTAGCCCAAATACACTTTACACACTCTTCCTCCACGAGGAACCTTTTACACACCAAACCTTTCTCAAATACACTACTCTTGTGTTTAACCACTTTTTTTCTAAGCATGTGTATGTCACGCATCAGTAAGGCTGTGACATGTGAATCACTAATTTTCTAGCAATCCACTTCTGTCCCAAATATAAAAGGTCACTTCCAATAATCAAAACTGCAATTAAGACCATCAAATCACCAGAAAAAACTAACAACAAAAATCACCCAATTCACTTCACTTAATCAAAAGAATGATCTGAATGACGAAACCTATAAGATTTAATTATATGGCTAATACATTATTAACTCTAAAAAGTCATAGTAGCCTAATTGCAGTAATTTCATCCTTTTAGCTCCCAGGTTCGCTCCCAGGTTCCCAGAGATTCAGCTCTCAAATAAAACTACTTTTGGAAATCCTCAATTTTACCGGTAAAAAGAAAACTCTCCCCACAACTTTCATTACAGTTGGGGTATCTCAAGCCTTGCCCACTTCTGTTGAAATCATCAAACTAAAAAGTGAGCTGCAACTTTCAAGTTTACGAAATTTAATACAAGCTTCTAGGCGCTTCAGAAAAAGGGTGTGTACATTTCTAGGTCTTTCCAAGTTTCAGGAGTCAAAAGGCAACAAAGTTTGTCTTAGCTTGTTAAAGAGGGTGTTACCTTAACTGAAAGAGAAAGAAAAGTAAATGAGCCAGACAGTGTCTTGGTTTTGCAAATTAAATGACGATATGTAATTTGCAAAAATGAGGCTTTCGTTTATACGTTTGGTTCAATTCAAATCTCACGACATGGAAGTTTCAACGAGACTTTGGTGCCTGAGTGATCTTTTAAATATCGACTACGACTGCAAGGATTTGTCTTATTATTATTCTTTTTTATTTATTTTTTTAACCAAGGGATTTGTCTTATTAGTTTGTCATCCACAACCTAATGTGACACCTTCAACTTGCAGATTGGGAGATATTTAGACAGTAGGGTCCGCTGTACATCTAGCAACGATACATTGAGAGGACTTGTTTTGTTTTTTTAATGACAAGGGAAATCCGCAGCTGCTACCCTTTGGTTGCGCACATGGTAAAACCCCTGCTCCTATGCAATAGCTCGGAAACCACATAGGAGTGGTAACCCGCACTAGGCAAGCCCGGTGTGACGAGCTCGACCCAGAAAGCAAACCCCTTACTTTCACTGGTAAGATGTTTCGAACTTGAGACCAACAACATGGAAGTCCCAAGCCCAAACCATCAGGCCACCCCGAAGGGTGAGAGGACTTACTTTTTAATCATAGGAAACCATTAGCACCAACAAGCTCCCATGATCATCAAACCAGGCTTATAAAATAAATAAATTATTGTTGTCAAGTCTCCACCTGCATACATGATGGAGTATATATGTATGCTTTTCTTTTAAAGAACTGGTCAGAATGTACAAAAGGACACCATTCCAGAATTGAATGGTCAAAAGATAAAATCCATTACCTGTGCATCTGTGAAAACACGGAAAGCATATATCTCTGTGTCAGGAGCAAAACCAAGACATTCTTCATCCTGACCAGCAATGACACCAGCCACAAACGTCCCATGTCCTAGATTGTCATTCAGTGTATCTTCATTGGTCCAATTTGTGCGTTCCTAAAATATATCAGGTATCAAGTCCAATGTATGTTAGTAATAGGGTCCCAAAGTCAACCCCCGTGTATGTTGATAATAAAGAAAAGACGGCACCCAAAGATGTACATTAAAACATATATAAAAAATGTATGTAAATGATTCCTCTCAAACAGCAATTAAAACAAAGCATTTCTTTCATATAAACAAATAAATAATGAATAAATAAAAAGAAAGCAAAATAAATACCTTAATATTGCGGAAATGAGGGTGATCTGACCGTATACCTGTGTCAAAAATAGCCATTTTAACTTTAGCACCAGTGTACCCTCTCGACCAAAGTGAATCTGCCCCAAAAAGGGATGTGACTTGAGATTTCTACAAAATGAAAATGCAAAGGATATATAATAAAGCTTGTCAAGACACAAATACTAAAGAAAAGCTTAATCTTAGTTTCTTTTAGAATTGCTGACAGAAACAAAAATCAAGTAAAATTCAACAAACTATTTTGTTACCATGATATCCAAATAAAAAGCATCAAATGGCTTAATCTTATTCCTTCTCCCTCCTACATCACCCAAAGGAGCACAAAAATCCCACAGGCCACATTATAGTTATTAAACAATTCGAGTTAGAGATAAATGTTTTTTTCAAGCAAGTATATATGGCTCAAATTTGATTTTCAACCTTCTTCTTAATGGAAGTACCTAACTTACCAGATAGATAACTTCCCCTAGCAACCACCTCATGTGAAAAGGTTTCCACATAGTAGGATAGGCACAAAGCAGTACACAACCGAAGCAACACCCAACATATAGCCACTGACAGAATACAATGCAGAGGACAATGATCTGTCTCTTATACAGCTTTATGCATGTTTTTCTAACAAGATATCTACTTGCATTTAAAACCTTAGTTTTTGCCCAGAAGTTCTTTCAAAGAGCCTAACTATAGAAAAAACAGCACGGTGAAGACTGTCAATAACATAGGTATGCAAAAACATGCACATAAAAAAGAGGACCAAATTTCCTTTTTTATAAATGAAACTGCAACATGTATCTTTGGAAGAAACAACTTTTCACCAAAGCAGCAGTTGTATATCAGTGGACATTCATATGCAGCTAAATAAGGCATCTATCCTTGAAAGACTCCAAAACACATTGTGACAAAAAAACTACTATAAGTATTAAATAGGATAAGCCAAAACATCATTAGAACAGGAATTTAAAGCAGAAGGCTCTAACAATTCACTTTCAGATGAATCTCTCCCCTTCTCACACCAAAAATAAATATTCACTGGTTGGTCTTCAGCAGAAAAACTCCAGAGAAATAATGAGGTGGACACATATACTGCTTTATTTCACATTTAATTTTTTTAAGACATCCTCAACACTTTAGACTACTGCAAGCACAGAGGTATAAAGCAACTAATGGTAGTCCAATTATTTTTTTTTCTGAAAAGCAATTACAATAGTATACAAGAGCAAACTATAAGTTTGTAATAATCTCCAGAATATACTTCCACTTCTCCAGAAAAAGTGAAGCTAAAAAAAACATACGAACTCTAACCCGAGGCATTGGGTTGCAGAACAGAGGAGAACTATGCTTACAAGATTCTATTGCAGCAATCACTTCAAACGACAACTCTTTATCTCTTAAATGCCTTCCATAAAAGTCGCTTAGGAAAACAAAAGTTCTCAGCCCTAAATTAAAAATGCTTTCGACTTCAAAAATGATGCCAATTGTAGAAGAACAGATCCATAGTAAGACTCAAGAAAAGATAAAGATAACATTAACATATTTGAAGAGGAGATTAATTTCCTCAGATAATATACCATGCAACATGGTTTATCCCATCATATCTCAATCATGAGAAGTTCTACCAGATTATATTATAATACTGAGGACTCTAAATGGGGCAACATCAGAATTGCTCTACTGGTGACCTTTATGTAACGACTTCAAGGTGTAGGAAAAGCCTCTTTGCTGAAAATCAAGGAGAAAGCAGTGTACATATATGCTCCCTCTACCCCTGCATAAGTCAGGGAACACTTTGTGCATGGCTAAGCCCTTTAATGCAATGCTACAAACAAAGCTCAGTAAATTCACATGTAACAAAACACAATCTCATCAAAGTTGTACCTGCATCAGTAGTGCTCTTTTCCAACTAATCTTCATGTTACTTGTGTTGGCCACTGCATAGTTTTGATCTTCACTGAAGGACATAGCTGTAAAAATCTTCCCAGCCCTCTTATTCTCATTAATAAAAGCCCCAATCTTTTCATTCTTCTCTTCAAGAACTACCCTTTGATAGCTCAAATCCAAAGAAACATCCTTCACAAAATCCAAATTTCTGAAGTTTTCTAACAGAAGTTCTTTCACAGACTCCTCAATAGCCACCAATCCGAAGTCTGTAGGAAACCTTGCGGCAGGATTTTTTCTCTCAATCCATTCCCACCCCTTAAATTTCACATTGTCTTGCAGATAATTTTGGAGAACTTTAGCTTCTTTATACTGATGGAATCGAACAATATAGTTTCTACTATAGGATTGTTGCCTCCGCTGGTCTTGGTAGTCATGAGGGCCACCAGTAGTATATGGCTGGGAGTCTGTTGACGTGGTCAATGCGATGGTTTGGTTTTGAGGACTCCTCAAGAGGTGAACGGAAATAGATGGATACAAGAGGAGGAGAGTATACGAGAGAAGAAGGGAGATAAGAGAGAACGTGAAGACTGATCTTTGAGGAGTTTGGGGCATGTTACAAGAATGAAATATCCCTCATCAAAGCACAGAGGGACGAATAGAGAATTTCCCTGTACCCAAACACAATCAAAACCCTCTTGTAGAATAGCAATTATGTGAGTCACAATTGTTCACTTTAATGGAGATCTACAGACCCCAATTGACTGAAACCTATAATCCTCTGCAAAAATTGGTCAGCTTCTAACTGACAGTAAAATGTCCACTTCAACAAGTAAATCACAGCTGTGTGATAAATGTAAGCTGCCTTCCCATCTAAAAAGGTTGATATTTTGATCTCTTTAAGGCTGCGGAGAAATAACACATTAACTTGGAACAATTTCAGCAAGGAAAATAAAAAAGGAGATGGTAATGAAATGCAAATTCAAAACCAAAGTAAGTAATTGAAAAGAAGAAACATAATTATGGCCATCAAGGGTATCTAGCTAACCTTTTTCATACATAAGTATATCTTCTTTTGAAACTGGTATAAGTATATCTTACCAACTTTGCTTTTGGGCATTGTCAAGCTACTAAATTCACTGATTAACATTTCTAAGAGGATGATTCAGCATAAATGTCTCCAATATTTCAAAATTTCACCAACATGTAAGGAGACAAATAGATTTACACCAAAATGACAGTGGGAGAAACCAAAGCCATAATATGAAATCTAATTTCACAAAATGTTTTGACTTCTTTATCAATGAAGTGGCCTCAAATAAGTTCATGAAGGTTCTAGCTTTGAGTCCAACATAAGGTAAAGAAACATCATTTCACAATGCAATCCATCATTAGACATATGGACTAGTTTTGGAAATCTAAGAGACCAACTACCAATTGAATCCCACTAAGTGAGGTCTAGGGAGGATAAAGTGTATGCAAATCTTACCTCTTCCCCCACAAGGTAGAGTGGCTATTTCTAAAATATCCTCGACTCAAGTGAAGCAAATCAAATAGTAACGGAAAAGAAAAAAACATCAGTGAAGAAAAACAGGACAACTAATAGAAAATTAGTGCGGAGCATTTATATGCATGGAATCATAACATCACCTAAGAGACCAAAATGTTCATAATAAGTTACTTGACATGTTTCGGCACCCCCAACTCTTGATACGATAGCTCTTCTAAGCTCTCACACACTCTCTCCTTCACTTTCAAAGGGCAAACGCGAATACTATACCCAATAATCAACTCATAAGTAATTACTCATACAAGAAATGAAACCAGTACAAACAATTAAGCAAAGCAGCAACTTATGAATTCAAAGAGAACCCCTTACGTGTCATTCAACTATATCTCAATCCCACATGTTTTTTATTTGGAGTTTAGCTATATGAACTCTCCTCATCTATTTTCATTCCCAAAAGGTCAATATATGATTTCATTATCAAAAAGATCAAATTTTTATTTCACTCCCAAACACTAAATTTTCAAGCACAACACAAACTGATCAAGAGAACCCAAAAATAAAATCAAATTGAGATTCAAAGGGTGTCGAAGAAAACCTGAAAAAATGACATCCAGTTAGGTAACCAACAAAGTGGGACGATTGAAAACAAATCCGTTAGTATAGTAAATCAATCGATTTCAATTCCCTCAAGAATATAAAAGGTATGATTTTCCCGGTGACCTGAAACGGTGACGGAAAATTGAGAACCGGCAGAGTTAAGCGGTCGGAAAATGGGGATTTATTTGAATCTTGAATCACAGTTTTGCTCTTTGCTCTACTGTAGTTTTTTTATGCTGTATAAAAATTTCTTAAATTATTATAAGTTGAATTTCTACTAATATATATAATATTAAATTATATCTTTGATACGGTAATAATGAGTGTCTATTTGAATGTACGAATTTCAAGTTATTCTAAATTCAAATATCACAATATTTTTCTATAGTATAGTGTTGTTTAATCGCATAATGTCACATATTCATAAACATTATAGGGTACAAGGTAACGTATTATTAAAAAGTAAAATAAGTGATGAAATAAAATTATTAAATAATATGTAAAAATAAAATGAGAAGAAAACGTAAAGATAGTAATGTGGTCTCATCAAATTGGTCATTACACAAAATAGGTCATTTCGTAAATCTAAACGATACAATATTATAAAATTTAAATAGCAATCATCTCAAAAAAACACCATTTAAGCAAAGTATCAATCAACTAACTCGAATTTGTAATAAAAATGGAAGAAAAAAAAGTATCCTTTAAATTGTTTTAAAATTGCAATAAATATACATTAGATTTGATTTTGATCTAAAAATGTCCTTGTTTGCAAACTGATCCAATTATGTTAATTTTTTGTTGATGAATCTCTTTTTTGAATATGGTATCAGAAGTCAACTCGCTGTTCTTTAAATTTGATTTATATGGAAAAAAAATAGAAGAACACATTTGATAATCATATATTATTATAAGTGAGAAGCTCCAAACTGTAAAGTTAGATTACCAATTTACCCCTATAAGTGAGAAGACTTTTGAATTTTGATTGGATATGAAAAAAGGCGACAAAAACTCGGTAAATTATGTACTCATTTTGTATTCTTTTTCCATGTATATATTGTTATGATTAAAGTCTTAAAGAACGATGTGTATGCTGATTTTTTCTTTCATGTTTAGTTTTTTTTATATTTACTCTCTATTAGTCTTCTTTATTTTAGTTTTCTATATAAAAAAAATATTGTCATAATATTTATTTGAGATTGTTCCATTTTAGTACTCATTACATACATGTTTTTGTTGAATTATAATCATCCTAATCAATTTATAAAATATTGCATGGGACAATCGTGCGAAGCACGTGTTCATAAACTAATATATATAATTTATTTTTAACTCCCTCAAAAAGGTGGAACTACATTTTGTGCATCACCTTATAGTCAAGAGATATATAATTTAATTAAGTAATTTCTTCACTCAGAGCTCGAAAGGGGGAAAATAGACTTTCCACAAAGTTTGGGTATCTTATCGTAGTAAATTTGGTCATAATTAACACGTCATTTTAGTTACATTTTCTAATGAAATTAAAATAAGATTTGATATCAATCCTTAAAATTCAATAGACGACAAAAAATAATAATAACAATAATAATTACTTAGGTCACAAAATTTCTTATATAAACGGCCTCTGAGAGAGAAGCCGAATCAGCTTTGAGTTCTGTCAATTGAACAAATCGCTTTCTCTCCCTCTTTCATCGGTACGTATATTTCTTATGCTATAATTCTACATTGTTCAAAAAACTACAGTTCTAAACAAAAAATAATTATTATTATTTGATCATCATTAAATTAACCATAGATCCAAAAATCATTTTGGGTTCAAGTAGGACAATTATATCAAATTAAAAATTTTTGTAAAATACCGAAATTTAATTTACTTTTTTTACTACCTTTTGTTTTTATCGTGATTTATTTTTGGTTAAGGGGAAGAAAGTTTTAAAAAGTATACGATTTAGGGAATTATATTCTTTGTTTTAAAAGTGTTATATTTATAATTTTATCATTTGCATAAAAAATTTAGATATATCTTTCCATCGAAGGGGAAGATAAATTATTTTTTATTCTTTTAGAATTTTTAATGGAAACAGAAGGAATATATAGAAAGTATATTTAATTCATTTTTTTCACATCAATTTTTTTTTATTTTTATTTTGATGATAAATTTGTGTTTATTAATTTTTTTTAATTATTATTTTGATGATAAATTTTTGTTTAATAGATAGATGTATATTTAATCATTTCTCTCACATCAATTTTTTTTTATTTTGATGATAAATTTGTGTTTATTAATTATCATATCAATTTTTCTCTCTCTCATCTTCTTGTCAATTTTATCACATGTATGTGCCAATTTTATTACATATATACATGTACTCCCCCCTCAAAAAAAATATAAATACAAAAATTATTGTACGATAATAATTTATTTATAACAAAGTAATTTCATTAACCTTATATACCTCATGTATTTAAATATATATTATTTTATTTCATCGAATTATTTAAAACTTGTTTAATGTAAGATATAGCGTATAAGAATCTTGAAATAAAATATAGAATTATTTTATCACATATCTGATTGTAGATATGAATTAATCTTGAATTATTTATTTCATTATTTTTATCATAATAATAATAATATAAGTTATCTTATATACATATAATAAAAAATTTATCCGAAAATAACTCATTCCTAATCGAATCATAATGATAATAGAGACCTTATTCACATATAATTTGTTTTGTTTAGTCTTAAAAACTTCATTATAAACATAATTAATTCCACCCCACCCCCACCCGCAGTGCTTCCTTCCTACTGTGTTTTTCATCATTATCTATCATCAGCAATCCTTTAATTTTGATGTATTACTGAACTAGGTGTGTATTGTGTAAATATTCAACGCAGAATTATCAAGAAAGAAGAAGAAAGTAATTTAATTAAAGAAAAAGAGATAAAGATCGATTAAACTCCACCGCTTTTAGGTACCCAAGAACTGATTCTTTTTCATATTTTTTCTTATTTATTGTGGAAAAAGTGATTATGGGTGTTCAAATTTTTGGCTAATTCAACTTATTGATCATCTGGGTAAAGGTTATTTATCATAAAGGTAGAGTCTTTTTGGAAATTGCTTCAAGCTGATCGGCTGTTCTTGAATTGCAGTGACTATGAATGGTTATATGATGCTTAAATCAGTTGGGAGTTTATGTGGGGTTGTTTTGTTTTACGGTTTTGGTGGTTGAAAAAATGTGTTTCTTTGCTAATTTTAGTGTTTTTGTTGTGATATAAGTTTGTATTGTCTGTTTGTTTGACTACATGATCAAATATGTTACACTATGATGACTTCACTTTGGAGGCTAAACTATGGAGGTATATTATGGTTAAATCACTTGAGGAGTTTTTATGGGGTTCCTTTGTTTTCATTCTTTGTGGTTGAAACAATGTTTTTCTTTGCTGATATTAGTGTTTTTGTAGTGCTATAAGCTTGCATTGTTTGTTTGTTTGTTTTACTGGATGATCAAACATATAACACTATGATGACTTAACATTGGAGGCTAAACTATGCATGTATATATTATGCTTAAATCAGTTGGGAGTTTTTCTGGGGTTGTTTTATTTTTCATTCTTTTTGGTTGAAACAATTGTATTTGGTTGATAATTTTAGTGTTTTTGTAGTGTTGTAAGTTTGTTTTATGTGTTTGAATTACCAAATGATCAAACATTCTCAAACACATGCCACTATGATGACTTTGCTTTGGAGGCTCTCCTTATTGCTAGTTAATTTGTTGTGACTAGTTTTTTGTCCTTCGATTTTTGTTACTGTAGTTCTAGTGTGGTATTATTTGGTTGTTGTAGTTACTGTTCAACATGCTTTGTTAGGCTTTTACATCCATTACTTCTTTTCCTGGATAGCTTTGGTCTGTTTTTTTGCTGAGCCGAGTGTCTGCATACTCTTTATCCCCCGAAACTCCATTCCGTGCGACTACACTGGGTATGTTGTTGCATATATGGATTCCATTACTCCAGAATTCCAAGAATTTGTTTCCATGGATCAATCAGTGAGTGGATTATGTAATAAAGTTGTGCTATTTATACCAGGAGAAGTTGGCTGATATAAGGCCCAATCAGTCAACTAAGTTTCAATCTGAAATAGTTGTAGTCTGCTTTATGAAACTTGTATATCCATTTTTCTTGTTCGAGTGTTTTGATCTAAATTTTGTTTAGATAAATGAAAATTCAATCTGCTTATGTCTTGGTGCATTTGAGAATGATAATGGGCTGTTAATAGTGAAGTGCTTATAATATTGGCAGGAAAACATATAGAACTGGCTTGGTGTTGTTTCATGGGAAACCGGGGGCAGAAAAGGACTGAAAATGTTGATGAACTGCCTGCCGATAAGCGACCCTGTAGCTCAACCAATGACAGGCCTAGTACTTCCAACTCAGTGATTCCTACTACAATGAGTTCCATACACGAAAGTCACCATGGTGATATAGACACATCTTCATCATCATCATCCACTTCAGGGTCAAGTGAAGGTGAAAAGGACTCTGCTTATGGATCTTATGAATCTGATAATACTTATAGGGACTATTACAGGCAGCAATTGATGGGCAATCAGAGCAAATTCAATGGAGTTTTGGAAAGTTTGAGAAAAGAATCTGAAGAATCAGCACTGCTGGCTGCTCTTACGGAACTATGTGATTTGTTATCGTTTTCTCCTGATAGTTCGATGTCGAACGTAATGGCAGATTTATTTTCTCCCGTTCTTGTTAGATTGGCTAGATATGAGAGCAATTCTGAAATAATGCTATTAGCAATCAGGGCAATGACTTATTTATGTGAAGTTCATCCCCGTTCGTCGGCCTCGCTTGCCAATCATGACGCAGTTCCTGCCCTTTGCCAAAGACTAATGGCCATTGAGTTTTTGGATGTGGCTGAACAGGTATGATGAAATTGTTTATCAATAATTCTTTTTTTTTTTTGTGTTAAATTAAAGAGTGGAAGGCTTTTTAGATGTTTTCCTGCAAAAAAAATTTCTTGAGTTATGCTGTGAGTAATGTTTTTCCTCTTCAACTTAGTGTTTGCAAGCACTAGAGAAAATCTCGCGGGAGCAACCTATAGTGTGTTTGCAGTCTGGGGCTATAATGGCCATTTTACGTTACATTGATTTCTTTTCGACAAGTGAGCAGGTAAAGCAATAACATTAACAATCTGCTATAATAAACTGATGATATTGAGGTTGAAATGTTTATTTTCT